CCCCCCCCCCCCCCCAAAAAAAAAACAGAGTGAAAAATAAGTATAAAATTAGAAAGCAACAGAAGAGGGAAATGCAGAAGAGAGAATTAGAAGTAGAGAGACAAGGGGGTAAAAAGGGGAGGGAGAAGATGAGAGGGAAGAAAGAAAGGAAAAGAAGTTATAAAGGACAGAAACAAAATATAGAGAAACAGGGCCTATTTGGAGATAATGGGTGAAAATTTAATGGAAAAAGGGATTCTGCAAAAGTACATAAGATAGTATTGTTATATTAGAAATAATTTTAGAAAATATGCAACAATGTATGATTAAAATGTTTGATAAAATAGCTATTGTAATTCAGTGGAATGCTTGTCAATAAATAAATGTAACAAAATGAATATTTAATGATTTACAAAACATATGTGAAGAAAAATAAGGGAAAAATTAATTATGGAGATTATACGTGACTTTAAGGAAGCATGATATTTAATTGAAAAGAAATGTTAAAGATGTTAAGATTTTAATGATTATTAATGATAGAACTGAATTGGAATGGAATGAGGGTTTATAATTACATATAATCCTTTTTTAAAAAGAATATAGCGTGTACTATAAGAATGTACCAAGCAGAATTCGATTGGAAGTTATGTATTATGTATTATATTGAAGGTCATAACCTGAAGGTATATATTGAAGTTTTAATAAGAGTTGAATGGATGTAATTAAAAGATATAAAGGTGTCATACTCCAATTAACTACAGGAGAAAACTTGTTTAATGAGAAAAGATAATATGAAATTGAAACAGAACAGACAAAACTATAAATATAATAATTTGAATTGAGATGAGATAATCAAAATAAAATTGAGAAAATTAAAAGAGGGGAAAAACTATATAGAAAATGTAGAAGAGTATAAGATATGGAATAGAACACAAAAAGGAGCATGAAATTGAGTTTTGTGTCTGTATAAAGAAGTTCAACTTGGGACCATGCTATTTTCAAAAATATTTTGTATGTGTGAAAATCCAAATAAAACTTTATTAAAATATATATATATGCTATTTGCTTAGTGAGAGAGTGAAGGAAATTGTCCTACCTGGTTAGCAAAGAGTAAATAGCAAACGGTGGGATCTTCCTTGTCCTTTACAATCGCTCGAATGAGTTGCAACATGGGAGTAATTCCTTCAGGGAAGAGGGAGAGAGAGAGACAGAAAGATAAAGAGAGAGAGAGAGAGAGAAAGAGAGAGAGGAGAAAAGACACACACACACACACACAGAGGAGAGAGAAAAGAGAGACACAGAGAGAGACAAAGACACAGAGAGAGAGAGAGACAGAGACAGAGACAGAGAAGGACAGAGAGAAAGAGAGAGAGACACACACACGCAGATAGAAAGAGAGAGAGAGAGAAAAGAGAGACAGACACACACACAGAGGGGGGGGAGAGAAATGGTTAAATGAATCTTGTCAACATCTGCAGAAGAGCAGGCAGAATTGGAGGTGGAGTTAAGTGAGACATCAGCCTGGAGTCCTTGTGCTACCATAAACACTTTAACTCCAACCCCTCTTGAATTCCATCGACTCTTTATCTAGCGCCAGTTTAGGGCTGCATATTAATTGACCAGATCCTTGTGAGCAGGATGGTCAATAAATCATCTTAACTAGAAGTTAACAGGTAATTCTTCCCACCCGACACATCCCACTGAATGACCAAAGGCAGGAAAATACCATTTGGGAGTACCTGTTCCACCTGCAATCATCCCGACGTATTTCACCTGCTTAAGCACAGGTTCAGATTTCTTGTCTGGACGAATCGCAAACACACCTGGAGAGTGGAAAAAATAATCAGGGCTGAGGAATTGGACTGGAGGCACGTAAAACATCTCAAATGCAAGACATGGGTTTGGAATGCCCATTGATGTCAGAGTTGACATCTTTTGCCCACTCCTAATCCCAATGATCTATCTAGAAAAAAAAACACAATGGGGAAAATTGTTCAAATATAACCTACATTGCTCATTGACTTGCAACCGTTCGAAGCCACAATGGACCAACTTGGGGGGCTACTTCAAAATCCTGCCTGTTGGGCCCGCCTGTGGTCACATGACCGAACTTTGGTTGCTGAGCAACTGGGGTGTATTTACAACCATGGTCACCTGAACGTGTTCGCCAAAAGTTGGCGTTTACTTCCAGGTTTCGGCCAAACCACTCCCATGGTGAACCATCGCTTCTGTCAACTTGCGAAGCATTCCTGACCTGCTTTTGAGTTGCCATAGGCAGGGGGGATGGGGAATCCAACCTTGCAGTGGCATCGTGAACTTGCATTTCAGTCAAGACAAAGCACATTCCAACTGGCAATGTCAAAGTCATGTCCATGGAGACCCAACAGCGGTCGGAGAGTGACTTCTACAACCCGCGAAATTGCTTTGTTGGGGAATGTGACTGTTGACACATCTTGGGGAGGGGGGGAGGGGTAAACAAGGTCAGAGCCAAAGCATGGATTAAGTGAGGTCAGAGTTGGCTTCATTTGGTCCATGTTGACAGGAAGCTCCTAATAACTGGATTTCTTTTGAAGCTTGGCCTGAGGTTCATGATTTAAATAGTGCATCAGTCGGACAACTTCACTTAGGAACCACGGTGGCCTCTTCGTGACTATGATTGCTGCCATATTCACTTATACAACAACAAAAATAGTCATAAAATGGGATTGGTCCTATGATGGTTATGATGGACTTCTTTACCCCGCCCCCCAATTCTGTTGGCAACTATAAAATGGGCATAGAAATGTTTTATGAGTTGACACAGGCTCCATTACAGCCGTAAGTTTGAGAACTCCTTGCAGGATAAATCAGAGATGAAGACAACCTTCTCCAACTTGGCGTTGTTTCCAGAGCCTCACCTTTCCCCTCGTAAACGAGCAATCCACTGGGTCCCCGAAAATCAATGGTGTCCCCCATCTTTAGATTCTCCAGATACTGGGACATTTTCCCTCCTTCGGGAAATTTGGGGTTAACCCCTTTGAAATAGATCTATAGGGGAGAAAATACCTTTAAAACTGAATGTGCAGATGAGAAAGATGAAGTCATTCAGACGCCTGCAAATCCATGATGCTCAAGACAAATGGACCACAGCCAGAGGTGGTCTTCAGCAGGTTCTGACCAGTTCTGGAGAACCGGTAGTGGAAACTTTGAATAGTTCGGAGAACCGGCAAATCCCACCTCTGACTGGAGATTTTACAGTATCCTTCCCCTGCCACGCCCACCAAGCCACGCCCACAGAACCGGTAGTCAAAAAATTTGAATCCCACCACATATAAAAGGCGTCTGCAAGTTTGTAATCAGATCACGCACAAAAAAACGCTTCTATCCTGAAACATTTTCACAACTGATTCCTCTGAAGATATATTGAATGTCAACTTGCATTATCTCAGAACGAACCTGTTTAAAGAAATTATCTTTTTACCCTTAAGAGTTTCTTCTCCAAAGCTTTTACCTTCACTGGGGAAAGATTCATATTTTAATGCAGTCGATTATTTTTTTTAATATTTTTTTATTTTTAATACAATCATTCCATCTTCAGTTGAACAGTATGTGTTGTCTGGGTACAAACATCCTTGTTAAACAATATTCAAAATTACAACATCCTTCTTTACATATTAATTCTGCAATATTTAACATAATGATGTCCACCTATTAATTATACTAATTGATTATACAATATTAACGTAGTAGTATTCAACATGTTAATCATATTATCTCTTTTAACACATCATCTTTAATACAGTAGATTCCTAAAGTGAATATTTATCTACCTACCTACCTACCTATCAATCATAGATATAGATAGATATATATAAATGGATGGATGGATGGATGGATAGATAGCTAGATAGCTAGATAGATTCCCACAATGGAAAAACTGATGGAACTAGCAGAGATGGCTCAATTAACTGCTTTAATCGGAGAAAAAGATATTATATCAACTTTGTTTCTACTTGGAAACCATTTCTGGATTTTGTGCTCATGATGGAAAAACAATGAAACCGTGACTTTGGTTTTTGTTGATTAGATAAGTTTGTTATAGAACTGGCTAGCACGTATTAAGTATGTAAACTTAAAAACTCGAGTCTGTAACGTTTCTATCTTATTCTACTCTGCTAAGAAGAGTCAAAAGTCAATGCTTTTCTTTTCTTGCTCCCGTGTTCCCCTACATTTCTTTCTCTTCCCTTTCCCCACTATTTCAGTTTTCCTTTGTGCTTTATATCTTGATCAGCGTAATGAAATGATTAATTGCAAAGCTGTTACCTTCACAACCAGATCCACGAATCCTTTGTCGTCATCACTGCTGACAGGCGTGTAAGGTCTGATCACCAAATTCCCGTCGATCCTGGCCGAGAGGTAAACATGCTGCCCTTGAAGGTCAAGCAAAACATTCAAAAGATGAAACAAGTGTCAACTCATAAAACATTTCTATGGCTGTTTTATACCGTAGTTGCCAATAGAAAGAGAGGGGAGGAAAGGGGTTTGAAAAAGCAGTGCGGCAGCTTGGAATTGAAAGTGCATTCTATGTATAGTTTTTCAGAGATTGTAACTATCCCAGTGGTCGCCAACCAGTGGGCCGGGGACCACTGATGGTCCATGAGAAAATTTTGGTGGACCGCAGAGAAATGTCACCCTCAAAGCAATTAATCCAGGCTGTTCAGGAACACAAGGCTGTGCCGCCCACGTGGCCCACGTGAACACAAGGCTTGTGTCACTTGCATTGCGAACAAAACGAGGTAGTGAGGGGAGGGGGGAAAGGGCAGAAGGGGGGAACTTGCCCCACTCGCTCCATGTGCCTGGCCTGGCCACCAGGCTGCTTCTTTCCACTTCTTTCTTCTTCGGCTTTTCAATGCACACAAAAAAGCAGCAGAAGTCTCTCTTTCTCTCCCCCAAACTTTGCCAGAAATGAGTCTTTGGGACCCAGCAAGGCCTCCTGCTCCAAGAGTCTGAATTGGCACGACTAGTCTCACAAAGACTCATTTCTGACGAAGTTTGGGGGAGAGAAAGAAAGATTTCTGCTGCTTTCCTTGCACAAAGGCAAAAGTCTCTCTGTCTCTTCCCCTGAGAACAGAGCTGGAGATCCTGTGATCCCAAATAAAAACGATCGATCAGTAGGAAAACGGGATGGGGGATTTTCCTGTAGACTTTTTTGGGGGGATTTTCCCAGGGTCTCTGGTCCATAGGATTTAAAGTTATGAGTTTGGTGGTCCCTGAGGTCCAAAAGGACTAGGTGACTGAAGTTTCTGCTGTGCAAAATTCTAACTGGAGAACATGATGACTCCTGGCTATGGACGTGTCCCATTGGAGAATATGAATTATGATACACCCAGGGTGTGAGAGGAAAACCAGAGTCAAGGATGACAATGAGTGATGTGTCTCAGAGTCAGCTACAGCCAGGCAGTGCCGGACATGTTAACTCCCAATAAATCCTTTTGAAGTTTTGGAAGTTTGGCTCGAGACTCAGGATTTAAATGGGGGTCACTGCCAGAACCCTGATAGCAAGACAGACCATCATTCAGCTTCCTTAGCTTAGCTTTGCCTCATTATTTATGGAACTAGTTTGCATTTGATGATGCAATAAATAAATAACAATAATAAAACTAATAATAAATAACAACAATAATAAAACTGCCTATCCGCTCAGACATTACTTTAACAGCTCTTTTAAGTCGTTGGTTTGGACTTGGAACTGTGAAGTTTTTAAACCAGTCCCAGTCTGTGAATCAAATGGAAGATTCAATCTTAAATAACAACAATAATAACAACAACAAGTTGACAAAGTTCTTGAAAATGAACAGGTCAAGATCCTGAGTTCTTTTTTTCAGTGCCGTTGTAAGTTCGAATGGTTACTAAATGAACTTTTGAAGGACGGCCTGTACTGAAAGCAAAACAATAATTAGGCTGATTTTTTTTTTTGAGGGGGGGGGGATGGGGAAGAATGGGGAAGGGGACAGCTAAAATAAAACCGATCAAAGCTTGTGAATGCAGCCCCCCAAAAGATAACTGATTGTTGTTTGCACTGTTATTCTTCTGGATAAATTCCTGGAAAACATTATGCGTAGCGTGATGGGTGTTTTTGAGAGACACACAGCAGAATATGCTTTTTATTTTTTTTGTATCCTTGAAGTTTATACTACTCCCATGGTTGCAAGGCACCAACACAACGCACCACAGCTGTTTCCCTGTGCAAAATGCCTCTGGCAGAGGAAAGGAGCAGCTGGCTTCCAATTACGGATTCCACTCGGCAACCAAGGGAAGAAAGAAAGGCCAAAACAAAAACATGGAAGCCATGGTTGCAAATTCGCTCGATACCCATCCAGGGCTTTCTACTGGCTACAAACTATAAACAATCACAATTGTGTGTGTGTTGTTTTTTTTTTGTCTAGGGTGTCACACTGGGAATTGGGTGGCACCAGGAGAAGTAAACAACTAAATATTCTTTGTGAGGATCCAAAGAGTAGCCATGTCGGGATGATCTATGGAAATTCATGGATCAGGATTAAGTTAGCAGGCGGTCTCTTAACTCAGCAAGATGGTTGTGTTTTCTTCTGTTATTAGTTCAGTTGTGTTTAGCTTTTGGGTTGGGAGTTTGAGCTGCGTGGATGAATTTTCCTATTCATTTAAAGAGTGGGTCTAGATCGGTTTAAATTTAGGTAGAATTTTTCCACCATCAATGCACTCTTCCTTCTAGCTAACAGAGCTTTTCTTTAAAGAAAGAAAAAAATAAACCAGGGAAGAAGAGGAGAAAGAAGAAAGGAAAAAGAAGAAGAGGGAGGAGAAAGAGAAGGAGGAGGAGGAGAAAGAAGAAAGGAAAAAAAGAGGGAGGAGGAGAGAAGGAGAAGAAAAAAGAAAGGAAAAAGAAGGGGGAAGAGGAGGGGAAGAGGAAAAACAAGAAGAGGAGGAGGAGGAGGAAGGAAGGAAGGAACGAAGCAAGGAAGAAGAGGAGGTAAAAGAAGAAAGAAAAAATAAGAGGGAGGGAGAAGGCAAAGGAGAAGAAGACATAACTTTCTTTCCAAGTCCACAATTCAATTCAAAGATGTTAATTTTTTCCTCTAGTCCCCCTCCAAGTACCTTTATTTTAACACAAACAGCTTACCCACAGGAAGCCCCAACACATGTCTTGGGCTTGGCAGGGCAAAGCGAAACTTTCTGGTGTCATGACTGATGTGCTGAAAAAGAGAGAAATAAACATCATAAAACTAGAGAACAGCTCTACATGTCCATCAAAGCCCAAATGTTTATAATCGAGATACCTTATCTGCATTTCAGAACTGTGCAAATTGAAGAAATAAACACAGTTCTCAACAGCACCTAACCAAGACTGACTGCTTAATCGTCTTTCGTTGTTTATGAAACTATCTGACCAAACAATTGAAAGCCAACCCTTCAGTTACACGTTTTGGGCAGGCCACATATGTAGGACTTGGAATAAGAGTTGGAAGGTCTTCTAGGCCAACCCCTGCTTGAGCAGGAGAACCTATGCCATTTCAGACAACTGGCTGTCTAGTCTCTTCTTAAGAACTTCCAGGGGTAGAGCAGCCACAACTTCTGGTGACAAGTTGTTCCACTGGTTAAATGTTCTCACTGCTGGTAAGTTTCTCCTTAGTTCTAGGTTGCTTCTCTTCTCGATTAGTTTCCACCCATGGCTTCTTTTCCTGCCTTCAGGTGCTTTGAAGAATAAGTTGACCTCTTCTTCTTTGGGGCAGCCCCTCAGATATTGGAAGGCTGCTGTCATGTCTCCCCTAGTCCTTCTTTTCCCTAAACTAGACATATCCAGTTCCTGCAACCGTTCTTCATATGTTTTAGCCTCCAGTCCCCTAATCATCCTGGTTGCTCTTCTATGCACTCTTTCCAGAATCTCCACATCTTTTTTAGATTGTGATGACCAAAACTGGATGTGATATTCCAAGTGTGATCTTACACAAAGGATTTATCAAGTGTTACTAGTACTTCACAGTATTAATACTTCACATAAAAGAGGGCAGGAACCTAACTGCACAGCCATCAACTAAATTCATGATTATTATTTTTTGACCCTACACCCATACATATTTGCGGTTGCAGTGATAAGTCTATAAAGGTAAAGGTTCCTCTCGCACATAAGTGCTAGTCGTTTCTGGCTCTAGGGGGAGCTGCTCCTCTCCATTACAAAGCTGAAGAGCCAGAGCTACGAAGACGTCTCCATGGTCATGTGGCCGGCAGGACTAAATGCCTTTGAAGGTGCATGGAATGCTGTTACCTTCCCACCAAAGTGGTCCCTATTTTGCTACTTGCATTTTTTACATACTTTCAAACTGCTAGGTTGGCAGAAGCTGGGACAAGGAACAGGAGCTCACTCTGTTACGTGGCGCTAGGGATTCGAGCCGCCGACCTGCCGACCTTTTTCTGATCAACAAGCTCAGCGTCTTAGCCACTGAGCCACCACTTCCCTTGACAATTCTATACGAAGTTCTAAACAATATTCAACAAAAGAGTCCAAAAACACCACACCACATCATGACAACCCTTCTTTCATGCATGGATGGGACACAGATCAGATCAATAAATCCAGACCCGGAGCTAAGGTCACACATTCAGATAATATAATGAGTTACGTTCATAGAGCAAACATTTTAGAAAGCTGGCTGCTCAAATGATCCATATTTTTAATACTATCTGCCAATAGGCTCGCATAAATTAGAAATCAGGGCAGCTGCAGATTGAAAAGGTTAAGTTTAGCCTTTTAGTAAAAGAGCCCAATCAGGAAGAATCATTATGAGGTCGATCCACTCCATTTGAAATAATAAATATGGGCGTATTAGATCTCCAAATCTTCCAATTTTACACACAAGGCTTTCTACTTGATTTATCAAGTTACATGGCGATACAAGCACAGTACATCAAACATCTCCCCAACATTACTAATTTTCCATCAATGCAGAATTTTATTTTCTATAGTGTGTTCTATTGCTTGCAAGCCCACCTAGAATCACTGCGATCGAGTAGGTGTCTATAGAAAATTTCTAAATAAATTTAAATGTAAATATCGAGGAGAGTTGGTTCAATATCCAGTTTTTCAACCTCTCCGTATTACGAAAGGCCACAGCACTAACCTGCATTTTGCAATATTTCTCAATGAATATACAATGCCTCAAAGGTTGATATAGATAAAACTGCCACATATCAACAGTTAAGAAGTAGGAAATATTTATTCTGCCTACTTCAATCTTGGTTTCTTGGCATACTGACATCAGTTTGGGTATTAAAACATTTTTTAAAAAATTGGGGAGAGAGAGAGAATGAGGGAGAGAGAGGGAGGGAGAGGAGAGGAGAGGGAGGGAGAGGAGAGGAGAGGGGGAGGGAAGAAGGAAAAGAGAGAGAGAAGAGAGGGAGAGAGAGAGGAGAGGGAGGAAGGGAGAGAGATGAGGGGAGGGAGGGAGAGAGAGAGGGAGGGAGGGAGAGGGAGAGAGGGAGAGAGAGAGAGAGAGAGAGAGAGAGAGAGAGAGAGAGAGAGAGAGAGAGAGAGACATAAGAAAGCAATTTATGTGTTACCTCTTTATCGATCAGCCTTAATGCATATTTTACATCTGGATTTTCTAGTGTGATCGGAGGCAGAGATTTCGAGAAAAGGCGCTTGATCAAACTGATCACGAAATAGACTGGAAACAGGACAATGTTTCCTAACTGTAACGTAAAGAAAGAAGATGTTAAAATTCAGCATCCTGACTGGATAAACAGAAATAAATTAGAAAATGGCTACGAACAAAACAAACAAACAAGCATAATAAGAGTGCTTTTTCAGTATTATCTACCAACCATGAAAGTCTATCATGTAATCACATTTAAATATTATTATTAGATGGTAGTAAAGATACGAGTTCTTCCTTTCCGAAATCAAGTGATATGTTCGCATTAGCACAGGAGCCTCTGTGGCACCGTTGTTAGAGTGCAGTACTGCAAGCTACTTTTGCAGCCAGCTGCCTACAATTTGGCAGTTCAAATCCCACCAGGCTCAAGTTTGACTCAGCTTTTTATCCTTCTCAGGTGGGTAAAATGAGGACCCAAATTGTGTGTGTGTGTGTGGGGGAAGAGGCTGACTCTGCAAACCGCTTAGAGAGGGCTGCTAAGCACTGTGAAGCGGTATATAAGTTTAAGTGCTATTACTATTGTCTTGTAAGGAGAGCAATAAGGTGAACTGAGAAAAATATGTCTTTTCACAACTTTTTCAAAGTTCCCAAGTATTCCTGCATTGGTTAATTCCGCAATTGTTTCAATAACCCAGTTAGTTAGTTAGATCAGGATTATCCTGGACATACCACGAGATAGGAACATGGAGATTTATTCAAAGCTATTCGGGGAATGCTGGGGACACGGGGGCTCAGAGGTTAAAGATGCTGAGCTTGTCAGCTGGAAATAGCCTAAGTTCAAGACCCGAGCACTGTGAGATGTGGGTGAGTTCCCGTTTCTCATCTTGGCTCCTGCCCACTGAGCAGTTGGATAGCAAGCAAATGCGAGTAGATCAATAGGTATCACTTCAGTGGGAAGGTAACGATACGTTTGACTTTAGCATATCACCATGCCGGCCACATGACCATGGAAGATGTCTTCGGAAAACTCTGGCTCCCTCAGCAAAGAATTGGAGTTGTAATTTGCACCCTAGAGTCAGATACAACTAGATAGGGGAAACTTTTTACATATAGTGAATGTCTATCTCAGGGTCTCCAAACTTGGCCACTTTAAGACTTCAACTCCCAGAATTCTCCAGCCAGGAGTTGAAGTCCACAGATCTTAAAGTAGCCAAGTTTGGAGACCTCTGTACTATCTGAATAAACAAATGGTGGATTTTCCTTCTAATCCCTGTCACTTACACATACATTCGCATAGTTAAAAACATGGTTTAAGAGATAAAATGTCCATATCTCTCATCAGTAAAAACATTCTGTAAGCAATATTATTTGAAAATACTTTCCTTCTGATAAGATGCTGTAGGAGACTGATGGGTTGTGAGTCTATTTCCCCTCCAAAATATGCTTTACAAATCTGCATTTACAATGTAAGCCAGTGAAAAGCTCCTTCTTGCAAAAGACGAATATTTCAAGGCTGCAACAACTCCTACACCAAATAGTAGAGATTCTTCCCCGGTGTGCCAGCAGATATTTGGCCTTGAGGATCTTGTTACTAACCCTGCTTTCCAACTGCTATAAACCTTCCCTTCATTCCAAGGTAAGATCTTCATCAAATTTGCTTGCGTAACTGAAATGTACTTGAATTTTCGACACACATGTGTGGGCTATTTGTCTAACTGAACTTACAGGGTTGGCCTTGGTGATGTAAGGCCTGATAAAACAGCAAGTATCAGTATTCAGGTCAATTCTAATCCCAGGAGAAATCAACCCTGACTGTCCTTTGGAAGGACAGATGCTGAAGCTGAAATACTTTGGCCACCTAAGGAGAAGAGAGGACTTCCTTGGAGAAGACATTGATGTTGGGAAAGATGGAAGACCAAAGGAGAAGGGGGTGGCAGAGATAGTACTAGCAACAGCACTTATATACTGCTTCACAGCCCTCTCTAAGTGGTTTACAGAGTCAGCCTCTTGCCCCCCAACGATCTGGGTCCTCATTTTTCCAACCTTGGAAGGACAGAAGGCTGAGTCAACCTTGAGCTGGTCGGGATTGAACTGCTGGCAGTGGAATGCAGAGTTAGTCTACAATGCTGCACTCTAACCACTGTGCCACCAGGAAGGAGAATGAGAAAGGGACTAAGAGAGGGAGAGAGGGAGAGAGGAGAAAGAGAAACAGAGAGAAGGAAGGGAGGGAAAGAAAAGAGAGAGAGAAGGAAGGAGAAAGAGAAAAGGAAAAGGAAAGGAGGGAGGGAGGAGAAAGAGAGAACAAAGGAAGAGAAAGGAAGGAGGGAGGAATAGCAATAGCACTTAAGACTTATATAGTGCTTTACAGCCTGCTCTAAGCGGTTTACAGAGTCAGCCTCTTGTCCCCAACAATCTGGGTCCTCATTTTACCGACCTCAGAAGGATGGAAGGCTGAGTCAACCTTGAGACAGTCAGGATCAAATTGCTTGCAGTGGGCAGGGTTCGCTTGCAAGACTGCATTCTAACCAGTACGCCACCTTGTCATTAAGATAGTGTCATCGACACAATGGACATAAATTTGGATAAACTCCAGGAGACAGTGGAGGACACAGGAACCAGGCATGGTGTGGTCCATGGGGGTCACGAAGAGTCGGACACGACTTAGCAAACGATATTCGGGTCAAGAAGAAAGGAAAGCAATGGAAGAACGCCTCCCGTGCAGAATTGAGAAAATGCTTTTAACTGGTCATAGGGAGTATTTTAGATTTCTCTACCTCCCCCCCCCCCAATTTTTTCCCAAATGGAGTTAGACAAAAACAGAAAAAAACCCAACCTGCTTTCTGTTTTTTTCTGTTCCTCCCCCACCACCCCCAGGCCTTCCTATTTCTGTTCTAGACCTGAGATTTTTCAAACATTTTCAGATCATAACAATATTTATTTTTTTCTTTAAAAAATCCCAGAATTCCTGATCAAGAGAAAAAGCTCTAATGATAGAAAATTGGTTGTGTCTGAGTGGTTGCAAGACGACAAACTGGAAAAAAAAAAATTCCCTTCTAGAAACGGAGACATGGATAATTTTCTTCCACGTATTTTTCTTGTCTAATCTTCTTTCTATTCCCAGTCTCTATGAATAAGTTTTGCTCTATTTCTTCTGTGTTTTGGTCATCTCATTCATCCTCCCCATCTATCTGTGAGTTGACCTTCCAGTTGTCTCATTGTGTGGGCAAGTGACTACCTATTGTGGTTAGATGACATCAACCATGGGCACAAGGTTTAAAATGTGACTCCAAAGCCAACTCATTCAAGATTCTTTTCTTTCATCGCCAACACGGTCTTATTTTAGAATTGTTTGTGCTGTACCAAGCAACTATGTTTTTATTATAATGCCACTCCCTGATCAGATTAGCTTCCAATGCCAGGATTTAGACCCTAGCAAATTGGGTACAGCCATTTGAACAAATTTAACAAAATAACAAGAGTTGGAAGGCGCCTTGGAGGTCTTCTAATCCAACCCCGTTGAAGCAGGTTGCTTCTCTCCTTAGTTAGTTTCCAACTCAATTTTAGCCTCCAGTCCCCTAATTATCTTTGTTGCTCTTCTCTCTACTCTTTCCAGAGTTTTAACATCTTTTTTTTTTAATATGGTGGTGACCCAAACTGGATGTAGTATTCCAAGTGTGGAATACTTACAAAGTGAATAACAGAATAATGGAGTTGGAAGGCACCTTGGGGGTCTTCTAGTCCAACCCCCCTGCTCAAGCAGGAAACCTAGCTTAGACCATTTCAGATGGAACAGTTGTCCAACCTCTCCTTAAAAATCCTCCAATGAGTGGGGTTCTGGTTTTGGAGAAACCAACTCAAAAACATCTCATAGATGTTTCCAAAGAGAAAACTCATCCTGGAATGCAAGACTACATCTTGTTCAAATATACTTTAAACTGGAAGCCAACTTAGCCTATCATTGTAACTATTCAAATGTAGGGAACAAGTTAGCGTCATCATCATCTTCTGAATAGTAAATGCTAAATAAATAATTCCCAATTTAGGGTCTCCCCCTCCCCTCCAGTTTTGCACCTGACTTGAGAACCTGAGAACAATGCCGCTGTGGAGAAGATAAATTTGCAAAACTCACCAGTGTAAACCCCCCAAGCAATTCCTGACTCCTAGTAGCATCTATTACGGAGTTCTTCAACTTTGATGACATTAAGATTTGTGGACTTCAGATGATCTACCCCAATACATTAGATTTAGGCAAAATAACTAGGTATAATGAAATATTAGATAACCAGGGAAAATTAAAAAACTGATCAAGAGCTGAAAGACCAAGGAATAATGATAGATTGCTGGCCATATGTTCATATCTGCAAGCGAGATATAAAAAAGACACAGAAGAATATGGATTCAATGATGAGTTACAACAATTAGACAAAATTTTAGTAGGCCCGGAGGAGAAATTTATAACAAGAACATATAATTACTTGCTAAGATTTGATATGGAAGAGGAGGTAGTAAAAGGGTCCATGATAGCATGGGCAAATTTTTTTGGATACAACATAGAATTAGAAGACTGGGAAAAACTATGGAGTAAGAATTATACATTAACAAGGTCCACAGCGTATAAGGAGAATCTTTATAAGAGGTTTTATCGTTGGCATTTGGCACCAATAAGATTGGCAAAGATGTATCCCAATATGAATCCAAGATTTGTTCCTGTACACAAACTTAAAAAAAAAATCCATTCTGAAAATCACACCTGTTTTTCAAACTGGACCCCGCCCCCCCAAATATAAAAAAATAAAAAAAATTTTGACAGCCATCAAGATCAGTTGAGAGGACAATCTGGTGCTCCATAGATTTGTCCTATAACTAATGCAGGATCAGCAAACAAAAAATTAAAACATTTTGCACATCAGTGCTATAATCTATTTACTCGGGAATATTTTTTATTTCAACAAACTTAAAACTGAACGAGGCTGTATAATTTTTCTTTGGTACAGAGTTACTCACACATCTCTGCTACTTGGGGAAAAAAATGAATATGTTATTCCTGTAATACATTTTTTAAAGAAAACATTTTGCACATCAATGCTATAATCTATT